ATAACAATTTTTTTTATTGGAAAACTAAGAAATTTGTTAAAATTTCAACAAAATATAAAAAATGTAAAAAATTAGGAGTATCAAAACCTATTTTTTTATTTTGGAATTATTTGTATATTCTACATCTTTTAAAAGAATTTGACTTTGCACCCCATTTTTTGGGTGATATTGGACTTTGCACCCTATTTTAAAAAACCTTTGATTTTGCACCCTATCATATAACATTTCTGAAGGAAAATTTCTAAATGGGGTGCAAAGTCAAATGATTTTGAAGTGAAATGGGGTGCAGAATCAAAGGTTTTTTAAAATAGAGTGCAAAGTCTAATATCTTTCAAAAAGTGGGCTGCAAAGTCAAATTCCCCTTTATATTTTCATTTTTTTTATTTATACTACTTTTATTTTGAATTTTTTAAATTACTTAAATATTTTGATATTTTTACTATTGTTTCTCTTGAATTCCTATATATTCTAGATGTATATGATTTTTTTTACAAAAGTTATCAATTGTATTATTTTTTTAATTAAAAGACCCCAATAGGAGGTTAAAATGCCTGAATTGATTGTGTTTTCAAAATAATTATACTTGTACATAAGTACGTTACTTTGTAATATATGTACTATATATGAGCTCAAGTAATGGATATGAAATAGAAACACTCTGTTTCGATCCTTTCTTTTTACTACCTCCGCCTCCCTAAGTTAGGGACAAAGAGAAAAATAGAATTATGTGGTTAACATTAAATTAATAAAGTGTGAATAAAGAAATAATGAATTGTAACCACTTAAATATTACCAAATATGGTATGAGACAAATTTAATGGGCAGACGAAAAACTGAAAAAGGTAAAACGGGGTAAATTACACCGTACAACCGGCTGTACGGTGAGCACCGTACAACCGGACATTTTTGTAATTAAATCTGCATCACCTCAACTCACGAACGAAGGACGGCAACCAAATTCGTCGCTCTATCCTCGTCACTTTCAGATTCCGGCTAATATGCCTGCCTGGTCGTTTACTGCTTCTGCAATTTCATAAGTGTTGACAGTTAATAATCTTGTTTCTTCCGATTCTCCCTTTCCCCTTCACGTGCCGGAAGGAGCTTGATGAGAAACCATTTCCGTAATCCTCTCCGGGTTCATATAGGTGTAACCGTCTCTAGCAAGGAATGAATCAAAGTGGAATTACAGCTTCGCACAAAGGAATTTAAAGGATGCCGCTGATTAGTGCTTAGCATTGACATCTACCATTTCGGAGTCATCTCACGTAAAAAAGAACCTGAAGCAATCAAATCAAAATTAGCCATCAAACTTTCGACTACTATGGATTTATCTCCAAACTACTATGAAGCAATCAAATCACAATTATGAGCATAGTAGACATTTCAAATGAGTTTTTTGAATGCTCATTTCGTAATTTATGTATACTCATTTGATATTAGTGCAATACTCATTTTAAAATGTCATATTCATGTATATTTCAAAATGAGTTTTATGTTAAACTCAAATGAGTATAACACCCAAAATGAATGAGTACACACAAATGAGTTTTTTAATATTTTGATACTCATTTTGTAAGTTGTGTTTGCTCATTTGGTACTGTTTTATGCTCATTTTAAAAGGTTGCACATGTTAAACACTTAAACATATCATAATCCGTTAGATTCACATATTGAAATTAAATGAAATTGACTATAAACATAATTTAAGACTTTAATAAACGAAAAAATAATAAATGGAATGTGATATATGAGTAATGAAGCAGATATCACTAATGTTCACCGTTAGACTCCTAATACTCAAAAGAACAGACTCGATGCTCATCAAAATTGATTGAATGCTCATTTAGGAGAATCCGTGTTTTTCACCAAAATCACAAGTTTGCCACCGGCTGTACGGCTGGCACCGCACAACCGGTTGTGCCATATACGCTTCCGTAAAACGGGACACACTTAGAGGGATGGAGGGAGTACTATTTATTTATAATTAGGAGTATTGACAATTTTAAAAGTGAGTAGAGGTGGATGATATATTTAACACCCAATTCATTTTTGCTTCAAGATTGAAATGTGTGTTATTATAACAACACTTTTAAAAATGTGTACAAGTACGAATGTGTTTACAGGGATGTTTGATACTCTTTATGAATGTCATCGTTAAAGAGTTTGGTAAACAATGACTTAGGCTATGTTTGGCACAATGGGCTGGAACTGGAGGCTAATGTCTGAATTAGGGACTATTGTCTGAACAACTGACGTACGATTGTCTGGAGCTGAACTTTGAAGTGCTAAATCTGATTGTTAGCTGTATGGAGTAAACCCGTTTGGCAAAAAGAGCTGAAAAGGTGCTGGAATAATATGATAAAATATTTATTAATATGATTTTATATTTACATCCTTTTAATATATGTATGCGTGTGCATACATATAATATTTCTCAATTTAAAATACTTTCTCGTATGATATACTCCCTCCGTCCCCTTTTAAATGGGACGGGAGATGGTGGCACGAGTTTTAAGAAAAGTGAGTTTGTGTGGTTGATATTAATTGATAAAGTAAGAATAAAGTAAGAATGATTTTGAGCCACACAAAGTTTACCAAATAAGGTATGAGGCAATTAAATAGGGACATCTCAATATGGTAAAACGAGACATTTAAAAGGGGACGGAGGGAGTACGGAGTAATTTAAACTGATTGATTAAATTAAAAAAATGTGAAAGTTGACACCTCATTGATTAAAACTAAAAATATGAGTTTACTCCCGTGTGTCATTAGTATAGTAATTCAATTTTCACTATCGTATAACCCAGGGCCGTTTTTTAGGGAGTTCAATAGGTTATCCAGAACAGGGCCCCCAAATTTGCGGGGCCCCAATTTTTTAAAATTTTATTAATATTATATAGTAATATTATATATTAATACTAATCACTAAAATATAGTTACCTAGTAAGGAAGAAAAATATAAATCCATCATTTTTTGTTGGTCCTTTTACCCTTTTAGTTATCTTTTAATCAATATTCAATTGATTTGAGTATATAAGTATTTAGATTGAGGGTTTTTTTAAAACTTTTTATATTAATGTGGGGCCCCGTTTTTAGATTTTAAACCAGGGCCTCCAAATTTATTAGACGGCCTTGGTATAACCCACACTGTCCATGCGTATAGTTCTAGCTAATGTAAAAAAATTGAATTTCAATAAGCCTGCGATAATGGGGAATGGAGTAGAATTATTGGGAGGAAAGATTATACGCAGTACTAGGTATATAACGTTGGGATGTAATGGGAATAGAAAGTCTGGAAACGGATGAACCTAAACGTTAGTACGTTACCATGTTAAACGTTTCATCTCAGCCAATATTTTCCAACTTAAGCCCTTTTCAGACCCTTTAAGGCTGTGTTCGTTAAACCATTTCAGTCAATAATGGGCTGAAATATAATACATTCAGCCAATGATTTTAAAATTAGAAGTGTTCAGATGCAAAGCTTATGTTGTCTTGAACTGGAAAAAACTAACGAAAATGAAACGTTCATAGATGAAGCGTTTGACTTCAGCCGGCCTTTTAATTTCCATTTTAGCCTCGCGTCTCCACCTTTTGTAACATCCATTTTCAAACGAAATTCATGCCCATTCTCCACTTTGTCAGACACGTTCAATCATTCTTCAAAAAAAAGACACGTTCAATCATTCTATTCAAATATTTATTTTTTGGCCACATATATATGTATAAATATCATAAATACATACTTCGTAATTATTAGGCTTTTTAAGTAATTGGATTTTGTTGAGTTAAAAAAAAGTAATTGGATTTTGTTAAGTACATACTAGTATTATTTTTTAATTTGCTACGTCAACTGCCGCTTTTTTTTGCAAGGTTAGTACTTATACAAATCCCAGCAATTTATTTTATTTTATTGAATAAATAAATAAATTAATTAATTTACTTTTGAAATATATATATATAATTAATCATATACTCCGTATCTATGACATTATTAAAAATGTGTCTATCTTTAATTCAAAATTTTTCCCTTCATGTAATTTTATGCTTTCTCGGAACTCATGCACCTCTTGTTGCCAAACAGGTTTACTTCATTCAGATCCAGCTATTAAAAATTCTGCTTCAAACAACAGTGTTTAATTCAGACAATAGCCTCTGCTTCAGACATTAGCCTCTCGTTTCAGCTGGTTCTGCCAAACATAGCCTTAGGCTTTAACAAACAGGGCTACATAAATTAAAGTTGGCTGAATTTAAACAAATGTAGCCCTTTTTTAGCTTATTGGGCACACTGAACACAGCCTTAACAGAATGTGTAGATACATTTTTTTTTTATTCCCGGAGTAAACCACTCATGGTGGAGGAACCTAATTGTTAGTACGTTAAGATGTTTTCACTTATTTGGTAAAAAAAGGCGTTTTCACTTATAGTTGCTTTGGTCTTGTCCCGACCAAAAATAGAAAGTCCTAATCGAGCATAAACATACTTAGAGAAATTAACAATGTATAAGAACATTTTCATTCATGATCTTAAAATAATTGGTTTTCTCATAGCACAGCATTGTCACATCACATTTATTCAATAAATTTTCAATAATACTCCCTCCATCCCATTTTACCTGTCTTACTTTCCTTTTCGGGCTGTCCCAAAATAAGTGTCTACTTTCCTCTTTTGGAAAGAAATTTGTGGTCTACACCATTTCACTTTATTATACTCAAACCTCAACCACAATTTTTACTTTTTCAACCACTTCATTAATAACCGTGTCAAGTCAAACTAAGACACATAAAATGGGACGGAAGTAGTATCTAATCTTAAGACTCTTCATCAACCATGATACTTAAATAATTAGTTTTTCTAAACTATGCATTAAATGCAATTTAACTACAAACTAAAATAATACGAGATCAAAATTTGATACCGGATTTTTCTTTTCAATAATTTTCTTAAATAATCTCTCTAAAAATAAATTTCTAATAAACATCTTTATTATCCCAAACCTTAATCGGATGTCCTAAAAGGTAAACGTAGGAAGATAAACCTGAATAAACCATTGCCATCCTTGGACTTCAGAGCTGTTTCAATCTAGTTCAATGAAACCTCAGGAATGCGTCGCTGAGAATTTCTAGTCGTTGTTGGCTAATTTGTGATATCATATCCACCTTAAAACGTCTATGGCGAGCAAAGAACGTTCCAGTAGGACTGGAGTTCCGTCTTTACTCAATTTATGCTTTGACGTGATCAAAGATGACCTCCTTCTCGGTAATTTTTTATTTCTACTTTTTATTTGAGCTTTTATTTCTAAAATTTTATTACGTAGTTCTTTATTTCGGCTCCTACGGTTGCTACAGAGGTTGATTAAGCTTTTGCTCTATGAATGTTAGGTGGTGATGCTGATCTCATCGCCTGCGTTTATCAACTTCCATCGGAGTTGTTTGAGCTCTTGTTGCCACTGTTACCACCGTTGTCTTTGCAAAGACTGCAGGAACGAATGTCAGTTTCAATTGCCATTAAATAAACATCTGCATATCTTATATTATTATATATATTGTAATTATAGTTGTAATTGTAGTATAGTTAAAAATGAAGATGCTTAAGCATGCCATCTTTTCCCTCCCATTTCATCAAACATCTATGTATTTATGGTAAAATATGTGGGTTTTCTTCTTCTCATCTTATGATCATTGCTGCTAATCTTCTGTTTCCTGAGACATTCAGTCAACGTTTTTACATTGTTATACTAGCAAAGTTCAACCAATGGGCGTGCTTAGTAAACTACTCCGTATCTGTTTAGTGAAAAGATTATCATTCATGTTTATCATGTACTCAAATTGCTTTCTAATATCTCTTTTGCATTATTTCAATAGTTTGACAGTGTGCTGGATCCTGAGGCCTGACCTTAAGTGTACCTTACTTAAAGTAAAAGAGACTATCATTTCTTAAATACTCATGCTTTGACTACCCAAGTCTTATGGAACTTGTCTCTTGTGAATTCTGTGGATGCGTTTTAAGTGTCAGCCCATAATTGTGTCATGTTCAATATCCACCTTCAAGGGTCGGGAGATGATACCTAACTTATAATTTTAATGCTGCAGGCCATCTGACTTTTGGGATGATCACAGATCTTCCCCTGATAACTATCGCATTCCAAGAAAAAAGAGAAGGTCTGCTGGCTGTATGGACATTCATATGATTTAAAGAAAATGGAATCCAATAATAGAATTAATGCGTGATCAGTTTTATCTTTCGCAATTTTAGTGGTCATACATACAAATTATATATACTCCATAGTTTGTTTCTCATGCTTTGGGCTTAACAATCATGATGAAATTTCACATTCACAAATTAATTGAGTGCAGATATGTGGGTTTTGAGAAAGCTTGGGAGGCTTTGTATAAAGCACGCTGGCCTGATTGTGACAAGAAATATTTGCAATGGCGAATATTCTCATTACAGAACGTAATCAAAAGAAGGGAGTCAAAGCATGAATTCTCTCATGACTGGCAGCAGATTTACTGGGAGAAACATCTACAGAAGTATGAGATGTGATTTATTAATATTTATAGATTTATAAATGACAGTGAATTTTTCTTGCTTCATCTGTCATTAAATAGTTTCACAATGTTAATCTGAAGTACAGTTGTCTGGATGCAGCTGCAGAGATAGCTATGTTACCCTCTTTTGAAGGTCATATTGGTGAACTTAAAGTTCCTGGTATGTAAAAGTTTTCTTTCTTCCTAGTTTATGTAGCACGTACCAGTATCTTTAAAGGTAAAATATCATGATAGATACTAAGAAACATAAGTGTATTACTCATGGTTGCTTACTAAAGGAACCTTTTAAGAATTTTAGGTATAGTTTATTGTCTGCCTCCTTTCATTTGAAGTTTTTAAAGTATTTGTCCCACACCGGAAAGCTATTAAACAATAAAACACTATATAAGACTTTGAACTTCTCATTCTATCAGTTTGACTGCTTGTTAAGGGTCTGTTTGGTCCATGTATACACCCTGATATATTTGTCCGGTTCGGGCTGAGGAGACGTGTTAAAGTATTTGTCCTACACCAAAAAACTACAAAACAATAAAACACTATATAAGACTTTGAACTACTCCTCATATCGGGTTGACCTTTTAGGATGGAATCTCAAGTCTTAATGCATCAATGTAAGTACTTCAAGTCTTGTAAGAATTACGCATAGCTCAAAGAGTACATCATATAGGGCAGCAATCATGGATGCTCTTAAAGTATAGAAAGTAGAAATTATAGAAACATAGTAAATTGTAATCCCAGTTTTAGTTTTAATATTGTTGTTTCCTATTCTCTTTGGTTTTAAGTTACCTATTCTCATTGGGTTTTAGAACATTTATTCTTTCTATAAACAATGCATTAGACTTCAGGGATCACGAATTTGAAAGTTAAAGTCATGAATAAAATTAGTATGTAGTCGATGAGTCAAAAGATTCTTCTTCTCTGCAGATTCTATACTGAAGTACATTGGTTGTAGGGGACACTTACCTAACTCACCTCATGACCCCTCAAAGCTCTCGTATCACTGCCAACAATTTGGATTATATGCCTGGTAATAATGTGGAAGCTTTAATCACCAAACAAATGTCGAATAATTATTATCTGTTTCAAAATTTTAGGTAAGCACCCCACATTCTCCTTTCTTGACATACTGAGGGGTTGAGTGTAAATTTAGAAGTAAAAAACTGTTAAATAGTAACTTAGCATTCACCTTTGTTGCTTAAAAGCCAGGGCATATTTTGCTTCGATTACATATTTATTATTATATCATGAGAGTGAGTATAAGTAATTTGTTCGTATTGCAGTTATCTGAGGCTACCTGGTGTGCTTTGTGTCGCAGAAACCTGTGTAAGTTACAGTTCTTAAGGGTATCCAAATGGAAAGACAAAACAAAGTATAGTCTGCTCAAACTTAAGGGTATTCATTTGATCTGTCTGGAACTGCTCTCCTTGTTCATTGTTGCAGCATTTGTTAAGAAATGCTAAATTGCAGAGTTTGGAACTAAGGTGGATAAAATCTCAAACGGGAGAGGATGTAAGTTTTCTTCCTTTACTTATATATCTTAGCTGCTATAGTGGTGGTGGTGGGGGGATGGTTTACTAATGGCCAGATAAACCTATCACTGAAGTTAATGTCTGAATCACCATAATATAGCATCTATATAAGCTGTACAACATCAATGCAAGTTAACATATTTTTTTTCACAATTATGTGAGTTGAGTGGAAAGAATTTATACATCTAGTTTCATTTATTTGCTGTCTGCTGACTTTCAGGTTGAGGGATTATGTAAGCTTTTGGGGCAGAATAGTGGAACTCTGAAGTCCATTAGTTTTATATATTCCAAGTTTTCTGCATCATCTCTGACTGCAATTTGCAACTCACTATGCTTCAATGGTCTTCAAACTCACCATATCCAGCATTTCACTATCATGGCATCAAGACTTCTTTTAGATAACGATGGATCTCTTCTACCCAGTGGGCTGCTGCATTTCTTATCATCTGGGAGGTATATGTGCATATCTCATCTCCTGCAAAATTAGCGACACATTTAAGCAATAATGGAACTCAGATTATTAGAAGAATCTTGTGCCTATCCAAAGCAAAAAAAAATTATGAGAAAAATGTACGGCAAAGAAAGTATTATCTATGGATCACGTGTTATGATGCATGCTACATTATAAGATTATCTAAAGGTAACAGATGAGTAGAGGATTTGCTTGATTCATTTTATTTTAATCTGATCTTTATTCCTATATTAGTTTATAATTACCTCCATTCTTTTTTAATTGTAACAATTTGACTTTCACGTTTGCCAACACACAACTTTGAATTTAATTAAATTTAATTATGTAGTAGTAAACATTACAAAAATGTAATATTTTGGAAATTCACATTAATAGAAATTTAATAATATTTCTATATATAATAATTTGAATATACGAAGTATATAATAGTAGAAAATCATGGTCAAAGTAAGGTGTGTGAATAGTGAAAAAATCAAAGTGTTGCAACTACTAAAAAACAGAGGAAGTATATGTTAGAGACCCCACTAGTCTAAATGGAGATGACAGATTTTATGGGCAAGTTTATGTACGAAGGCCTAGAAAATAGACTAGTAGTTAGTTATTAGTTGTTCTGTTAAAAACTAATAACTACCATTCCGTTGTGAATGCTATAAATAGAATAAACACTGCAGTGGGAAGGCAGGCTGTTTTTAGACTGATGTCTTGGCTGGGAAGTTAGAGTTTTATCTCTTTCTTTGGGAACTTGTATACGGTTTATCTCCTTTGATATCAATAACAGATTTCTTGTTTTCTATTGTTGATTTCTGTTATTATTCTGTGATTGGATAGTGTTACCTATCATTTGGTATCAGAGAGGTAGATCCGTTGGATGAGAATTACTCGGGCGAAGATGGAAGGACGAGTCACTGAATTGGAGAAGAGTCAGCGGGAATTGCAAGAAGGATTGGAACGGAGTATGAGAGAAATTCAAGCCAGTATGGCGGCGATGCAAGCGGGATTTGCGGAATTACAGAAGAGAAATTCTGATCGATCGAGGAGTCGTTCTCATCATTCAACTTCATCGCATCGCTCATCGGGACATAAACACACGAAGGACAGCGGTAGCTCAGAAGATTCAGATCATCACTCGGTTCATTCTACATCGCATCATCATCGCGAACCTGACAGGAATCATCGCTATCACTATCCGGTTGGGAGGAAATTGGATTTACCAATTTTTAACGGAGAAGATGTGTACGGTTGGCTGGTAAGGATGAATAGATATTTCCGATTAAACAGAACCGAGGAAGAACATAAGATCGATGTGGCGGTGGTTGCCCTAGAAGACCAGGCCCTTAGCTGGTTTCAGTGGTGGGAAGGACAGGCGAGGTATCAGACCTGGGAGAACTTTACCAAGGATATGACCAAACGATTTCAGCCAGACTTGGTAGAAAATCCTCTGGGACCACTGTTTAGTATGAAGCAAAAAGGAACTGTGAAGGAGTACAGGGCTATGTTTGAAGCAGCTATGGCATCTTAAGGACACCTGACTGATGAGGTGTTGAGAGGAGTGTTTTTGAATGGGCTAAAAAGAGATGTGAAAGCTGAATTGAAGTTGCATTCTACACCAACCTTGGCAAGAGTCATGGATACCGCTACCTTGATAGAAAATAAGAACAATGAAATCAGTTTGATGAAGATGAAGGATGAAGGGAAGAAGAAGATACAAAGTAGAAGTCAAAACTGGAATGAAAGTAGTAAATGGAAGAGTTACCAGGGCAGAACTAATGAGGCTAATAAGGTGGTGAATGATAACAAGATGAATCAGGAGGTTAAAGATATTCCTATCAGAAGGAGTGGCCCTAGGTTATCTCAAGAAGAGCTGATTGACAGAAGTAAAAAAGGGCTATGTTTCAAATGCGGAGATAACTGGGGAAGGGGCCATGTATGTAAAATGAAGAATTTTAAGATGATCTTGGTAGAACACTCTGAAGGAGAAGAGGTTTCTGACTTTGAATCTGCAGGTTCTGAAGAGGATAAGATAACAAATTCAGTTCACATGGACCACAAAACCATGCAGCTTTCCATACTAAGTAGAGAAGGTATACCCTCCATGAAGACATTCAAGGTTAAGGGAAGAATGAAATGGCCTGGAGGTGAGAGATGGGTGAACATTCTGATTGACAGTGGGGCAACTCACAACTTCTTATCTCAGGAGTTAGTGGAGGAATGGAAAATTCCTTATGATCCTATTCAAGGATATAGGGTACAGATTGGGAATGGAGACTGTATTCCTAACTGGGGAAGATGCAATGTGGTTGAGTTGTTGATTCAAGGAGTAACAATTTTGCAGACCTATTATCTGTTAAAATTAGGTGGGACTGATGTAGTACTGGGAATGCAATGGCTGACTGAGCTAGGAAATATGAAGGTGAACTTCAGAAATCAGATCATTAAATGGAAGCAGCAAGAAGCAAAATACATAATCAGAGGAGACACAATTTCAAATCAAATGGAGTTATCTGTGAAATCTATGGCTCACATTATACAACAGTATGGTGGAGGATATCTTCTAGCATGCGAAGTAAAGGATCAGAACCAAGACATACAAAAGGAGAAGGAAGAAATATGGCAGCAGGTAATAGCTGAATTTTCTGAAGTTTTTTCATCTACACTTAAGTTTCCACCTGAAAGAAAATGTGACCATGCTATAAATATAAAGGAGGGTGCTAGTATTCCAAACCTCAGACCCTACAGATACTCCTTTGATCAGAAAAATGAAATAGAGAAAATTGTTGATGAGATGCTGAAATCTGGGATTATTAGGCATAGTAACAGCCCTTATAGTAGCCCCATCCTACTGGCTAAGAAAAAGGATGGAGGTTGGAGGTTCTGTGGAGACTATAGGGCGCTAAATAAGGTTACTATACCTGATAAGTTCCCTATTCCCGTCATTGAGGAATTACTGGATGAGTTGGGTGGTGCCAGGATTTTTTCTAAATTGGATCTCAAGTCAGGTTACCATCAGATAAGGATGAGAACCAGTGATATCCATAAAACAGCTTTCAGGACCCATGAGGGCCATTACGAATATTTAGTTATGCCCTTTGGGTTGACTAACGCTCCTTCAACATTCCAGTCACTCATGAATGATGTATTGAGGCCATTTCTACGAAGATTTGCTCTTGTCTTCTTTGACGACATTCTAGTGTATAGCCAGACTAGAGATGATCATAAACAACATTTAAGATTGGTTCTGGAGGCTCTAAGGAGAAATCAGCTAGTGGCCAACCTCAAGAAGTGCTCATTTGGGCAAGAACAGCTAGGATATTTGGGTCATATAATATCTGCAGCAGGGGTGGCAGCTGACCCTGAGAAAATCCTAGCTATGAAGAATTGGGACACACCTAAAGATCTGAAGGAACTAAGGGGATTTCTAGGTCTTACTGGCTATTATAGGAGGTTTGTGAAAGATTACAGCAGTATTGCTGCTCTTCTGACTTGTTTGTTAAAGAAAGATGGTTTTAAGTGGAGTGAGGTAGCTACAAAAGCTTTTAATGATCTGAAAAGTGCTATGGTCTCAGTTCCAGTACTCAGGATGCCAGACTTCAACAAATTATTTGTTATAGAGACTGATGCATCAGGGAAGGGTCTTGGTGCTGTACTCATGCAGGAAGGTGGCCCTATTGCGTATATGAGTAAACAGCTTTCACCTAAACATCTTACAAAATCCATCTACGAGAAGGAATTGATGGCAATTGTTTTTGCAATACAGAGGTGGAGGCCTTATTTGCTTGGCAGGGTGTTTGAAGTGCATACAGATCAGAAAAGTCTTAAACATCTAACCGAGCAGAAACTCATGGGATACAACTTTACTATAAAATACAAGCCGGGAATTGAGAACAAAGCAGCAGATGCCTTATCTAGAAAGGTAATTACTCAGCCTTATCTACCATATACTGCCAGGAATGGAAAGGGTTAGTGGAAGAATTGATGAGAGATCCAAAATGTGGGGAGTTAATTCAGAAAGTGTTAGCACAGCCAGACAAGTTTGTGGACTACCAATTGAAAGGGGGGTTAATCTACTACAAGGGAAGGTTGATGTTACCAAGAGAATCCAACAGGAAGAGTGCAATCTTACAAGAATATCATGATTCTGCTATAGGAGGTCATGCTGGCTATTTTAGGACAATGAAAAGGATAACCAGCATGTTTTATTGGATAGGTATGAAAAAAGATATTCAAAGTTATGTCCAAGGATGTGAGGTATGTCAAAGAAATAAATACCAAGCTTTGAAACCTGCAGGGCTGCTGCAACCACTACCAATACCTGAGCAGGTTTGGGCTGATATAGGTATGGATTTTGTGGGGGGGCTTACCTAAATCTCAGGGCAAGGATACTATCCTAGTTGTGGTGGATAGACTGACTAAGTTTGCGCACTTCATACCCTTAACTCATCCTTTTAATGCTAAGGGAGTGGCTGAAGTGTTTGTGCAGGAGGTTGTAAGAATTCATGGGTTCCCAAAGTCAATTGTCAGTGATAGAGATAGCATTTTCTTGAGTTCATTTTGGTCTGAATTATTCAAATTGGCTGGTACCAAACTGAAGTATAGTACTGCATATCACCCCCAAAGTGATGGGCAAACTGAAGTTGTAAACAGGTGCTTGGAGACCTACCTGAGGTGTTTGACTGGCAATGCTCCTAAACAGTGGGTGAAGTGGTTACCATGGGCTGAGTACTGGTTTAACACAAATTATCACAGTTCCTTGAAGTGTACGCCCTATAAGGCTTTGTTTGGACAAGAACCTCCTACCCTGATCAGAGGTGATGTCTCTTTGACTGCAGTAGATGAAGTGGCAAAATTAACAGCTGAAAGGAATCAGGTTCTGAAAGAATTAAAGGAGAATTTGGCCAAAGCTCAGAACTAAATGAAACAACAAGCTGATAAGCACAGAAGGGAGGTGAATCTAGCAGTGGGGGATAGAGTATTTCTGAAAATACAACCCTACAAGATGAGGAGTTTAGCTAAGAGAATCAATCAAAAACTTAGTCCAAGGTTTTATGGGCCCTATGAGATTGTTGAACAGATAAATCCTGTGGCTTTTAAACTACAACTACCGGAAGGGTGTAGAATACATCCGGTATTCCATATTTCTTTGCTTAAGAAGGTGCTGAAACCTACAGTGGCTTATCAGAACCTCCCAGACTGTCTCACAGAAGATTGTGAGTTGCAAGTGAGGCCTGTAGAAGTAAGAGGCAGCCGGATGAATAAAGAAGGGAAGCAGGAGATCCTTATTCATTGGGAGAAGCTTCCTGACTTTGAGGACTCATGGGAGGAATTACAAACGATCCAAGAACAATTCCCTACTTTTCAACTTGAGGGCAAGTTGAGTGTTCCGGGGGGGTATTGTTAGAGACCCCACTAGTCTAAATGGAGATGACAGATTCTATGGGCAAGTTTATGTACGAAGGCCTAGAAAATAGACTAGTAGTTAGTTATTAGTTGTTCTGTTAAAAACTAATAACTACCATTCCGTTGTGAATGCTATAAATAGAATAAACACTGCAGTGGGAAGGCAGGCTGTTTTTAGACTGATGTCTTGGCTGGGAAGTTAGAGTTTTATCTCTTTCTTTGGGAACTTGTATACGGTTTATCTCCTTTGATATCAATAACAGATTTCTTGTTTTCTATTGTTGATTTCTGTTATTATTCTGTGATTGGATAGTGTTACCTATCAGTATATTTTAGGAAGTGATTTCCTAAGATTACTACATTTCCTTGTTATAGGCATTTGTTTGCATGCAATCCCTATTATAAAAGAGAATCTTGCTTTCCCAATAAAATTTTAAAGAAAGAATTAAGAAGAAACTAAGGAGAAAGAACTCCTCAATTTCCAAAGGAGAAGGAAGCCTCCTTAAAATTTCACTGCCCCCTCTGTTTATCCTTTCAAGGATCATTCCTGTGAGGCTGTGACGGGAAAATCCGGCACATAAAATTTTCTTGCTCAATTGTAACCCTTTCTTTCTTATATAGATCTGGATATTTCATCATGGGGGAAAAATGCTTGTGTGAACATGTAGATCAGAACCTAAAGATCTCCAGTACTTAAAACATGGAGATGCTTGTTAATTAGCATGGTGAGAACTTGGGGTTGAAACAAGGGATGTTTACTAACTCAAGAAAATCTTTGCTTTTCAAGAATTTCTAAAAAGTAGTGAATAGAAATAAAAATGTATTCGTTTTCTTTTACCCAGAAAAACGATCACCAAACTTGATGGGGTAAGGGATAGGCACCTCTTGGCTCTTACCAGCCTTTAATAAAATAATAAAAGAGCGATAAAAGAGGAAGGAGGGGGCCAAGGCGTAGGGCCAACATCTCAAGGAGACATTCCATATAAGGATGCAACAAAGATAAGAAGGGGAAGGGATCCTAATACAAGAAAGGCTAAACCAAAAGCATTCTCTTTACAAAATTAACTGCAAAAGACAGCAAATCATTAAATCAATTCCACCAATAGCGCAAACCAGAGTCACCTATCCCGGAGGAATCGTGTTCAGGACTAACCAAACAGTGGGGATAGACCTACTGAGTGATAACTGCTTTTGCGGCGTTGTAGTTAAAGAGAGCCTAACCTTTCGGTTTTTCCCCGAGTATCGTGTCTCTGAGGAATGACGGAGGGGTTTCTTAATTTAATCTTAGTCACGGGCTATCGCTAAACGTTGGAAGCTTTTTCAATATAAAAAGGTGATTGTGTTCTAAATTATGGGTGAAGAAGCCTAAGGCAAATTTAATGTTGAAATTAAATTATAGCAATTTGCAACAATTAAAATTACAACAAGAAGCAAGAATCAATTTAAAAGATTAATGATTTAAGATCAACGCTCAAAAGATTTGTGTAAATAAGGGCGATGAATTGAGTAATCAGAAATAAATATGTTCTTGGACCTAGTAATTAGGGGTATTGAAAACTAAAATTGGACTAATTATATCTTTCCTCATAGATAAGAATAAAAACTATTTGCATTAATTTATCCTATTTCTAGGTTTCATTAATGTGTTCAAATTGGTTGACTTGAATTAAATTCTAATCCCATAGACAAGATAGAAATAATTCTTCAATATTTTAATTAATAAAAATAGCGGCAAATTCATCAACTAATTAAACTCATTATTGAAGCAGGCTGATAGCTAGATCCAGAGTAGACAATACGAGTATGTTTTGCAAGTTGACAAACATCACATTCAAATAACTTAGCACTTCTTTTATTGAATAATTTTGGAAATAATTTTTCAAGGTACATAAAGCTGGGGTGACCCGGTTTGTGATGCCATAGAACTACTTGATCTGCACTACTATATAAGCTAGCTACAATATGAGCACTTGTAGACTTAGAACTAGACTCCGATTCCTGCTCCGTTCCTCGCAAGATGTATAAGCCATCACAAACCTCACCACTGCCAAGGATCATTCCCGTCCCCTCTTCCTTTAACACACAACGAGAAGAACTAAACTTAACTTCACGCCCCAAATCATGAATAACTTGGCGGATAGACAACATATTGCAGTTGAGTTTTGGCACATAAAGGACGGGAAACAAAGTGAGATTCTTAGTGACCTTAACCAAACCAATTCCAGCGATGGGTGCTAAGTTACCACCAGCAATCCTAACCCCTATCTTAACGAGAAGAACTAAACTTAACTTCACAAAATGGCGTAATAAATGTTTTCCAAAATTAAGTGGTTGGTGGTAATGGAGTAACTTTGAAGTTAATGTAGGGTGAATGGAAGTAAATGGGTAATAATGATCTCCACTTATATATAAAACTAAAAGTTAGCCGAGATATTAGTTATTCAAACCAGCATATGGGACTTCAATTTTGCTGAATCTCCTCCTCTTTTTCAATATAAGCTTATGGATTATATTGTTGTTACTTAGATACTTAGATGATTAGACTTATGAAAGTAGTTATTTCTAGTATGTTTTGTTAAGGAAACGTTACCGGGAACCTCCACTCGGAGAAAATTTGAAAACGTTGGGAGGTTTTGTTGAGATTCGGAAGTGTAAAACATTGTTTTTGAATTTATTGCTTGTCTTAGAATGTAGCTAATGCTTCATTATGTAATCAGGGTAGCTGTAATATCACCTTACTCACAGTCCAAATTAAATACAACATTTAACTCCTTAATAACAACAACTAATCTAGCTAAATACTGAATAGTTACCCTACTAAACTCTTAATTGTATTCGAATTATTTAATCAACTAATAGGATGTCTGGTCTGAAGAAATACTCAGCAATAAGTTAGTACTTAAGCATCAGAAGCTCATGTGCTGATATCAAGACCTTACATGCATCATGGTGGCTTCTTTCCAGATATGGATTCAGTTTTAGAACTTCCATGACTGTAATGGGAAGAAATTTTGAGTGGCATGTCCTTGTCAACTGTTCATTTTCAATTTCAGTACTTCAGAACTCCAAAAGTGCTAGCCTTTCTTCAACTTATTTGGATATAAATATGATTTCAATAATGTCCGTCCTTCCAAGGCAGGGAATCTGCTTAACTTTAATCCATTTTAATAGTCCTGTAGTATGGAGCTCCAAGTGTATATCTTGTTTCTGCAGGTCATTGTCCTCATTGAACTTATCTGATAACAAACTTAATCAAAAGAGTGCGAGGATGACCTTGCACACACTCCTTAGCACCTTGTCTAGCATATCCATTCTAGACCTTTCAGAAAACAGTGTGAGTCTTGACATATACTGTTACTACCTCCGTCCCATTTTATGTGTCTTCTTTTGGTTTTACACAATTATTAATAAAATGGTTGAATAAGTAAAAGTTGTGGTTGAGATTTGAGTATAATAAAGTGAAATGGTTTGTAGACCACGTATTTCTTTCCAAAAAAGAAAACGTGACACTTATTTTGGGACAACCCAAAAAGGAAAGTAGGACATGTAGAATGGGACGGAGGGAGTATAATTTATAACCATTTATTTACCAGTCTTATGATTTCCTTTTTATAATGCAGATTAATGGATGGCTTTCTCATTTAAAATGGCAGTCCACAAGTAGCATGCACTTGCCTTGTGGGATGTCCAATTCATTGAAGTCTTTACGGGTACTGAATTTAAGGTATTATCTATATTTCCTATTCACAATCACTAAGCTCAGCAGCGCCTGAAAACTATGTTGTATAAGGTGGTTAACAGATAAGATATTGCCAGTGACAGAAAGGGGACTGTGTTTCACTGATGTTTTTAGTCTTTGCAGGTAATAATAGTATTTGGACCTTTTGGCGCTAGTCGTTATTGGCTATTGACTCAAAACACAGACTGTGAATAGGCATTTTTATGAAGATGTCTTTCCTTTTGCTAGATGATCTATCATTTTGTGTTCATAGACTCATTCTGTTTCAGGAACAACAATTTACAAAAGGATGACGTGGATTGTCTCAGATATGTGCAGATCTACATGCCTAATTTGGAGAGTCTTGATTTAAGTGACAATCCCATTGAGGATGATGGAGTCAGGTTATTTGAATTTTGTAACTGCACATGCTTATCTAATTCCTAGATCATAAACTGTTTTATTTTTCAGGAGTTTGATTACTTACATTGAGGATAAATGTAAGATGGTTGAGTTGAGATTGGAAAACTGTGAGCTTACTTTCAATGGCGTGAGCCATCTTTTAGAATGTCTCTCTACTTTGCAAAAACCACTTACCTCTCTTTCAATTGGCGGCAACACGCTTGGCAGGTTAGGGTAGTTTTTACAAGATACTCCGTATATTTTATATTTGTTTCTCTTAAGCAACACTCGTATTTCATTTTTATTTTACTTTTGCAGTGATATAGGAGAATCAATAGGGAAATTTATTTGCACAGGCATTCTGGCTCTTGACATTGATGACATTGGACTTGGTTCTTCTGGCTTCTCAAAAGCGAGAGAACACATAGTGGAAGACTCAAAGCTCATATGCATCAACATAAGGTCAATCTAATTAGTGCACATATTTTCCTGTAATTTCTTTTTTATGAGAGGGGGGTTCTACAAATTAAAGCTTCTTGAGACCTTGTGCAGCAAGAATCGTGGTGGCATTGAAACTGCAAACTTTATGTCAAAGCTTTTTTTACATGCACAAGAACTATTAGCCATTAATGCTGGATATAACCTTATGCCTGCTGAATCATTGGCAATCATAGGATCTGGCCTTGAAGTTGCAAATGGTAAATGTTTCGAATGCCTTTTTGTGTTCCATCTGAGTATCTGACGCTATTGCTAAAACTAATTGTGTAACGCATTTGATGCACAGAATGACGTAACATGTGAGAATCGAAGTTCAATATTCTAGTGTTGCATTTGAATATGTCATTAAATACGGAATATGACTCATTAGATTACTAAAAGTATGTAACCTCTTCTTTCAACATTTAAACTCTAGATAACTACCACTCTATTTTCCCAAACATTATATGTATATACAGGATACCTAGTTAAGTATTGTACATTTGTACTCAAAGTCAATCATCTAAACCTTTGATATCAAATATAACTCTAATTAACATATGGTTAAATGCTAATATGTCGTGCTTAGGGTTGCTGCTTTTTCTTGGAAAAGTTACTTCCTTAAATATTGATCTCAAGTGATCTAACACTTATGTGCCAGTTTTATGCTCCCTGAAGCCTCCTCCTTAGGTGTGTGTTTGTGATTGTGTGTAGTTTTTTTTCAAGAGCTGCTTATAAATGCACAAGTAACACATTTGGCAATGAACACTTGCACAATCCAACTATTATCATGTTAAAACCTACAAGAACTATTCAGATTTTTTCCTTCAGTAAAACAGAAACTTCAAAAGTGTTAATTTTTCCTCTTTCTTTCTACAGATTTTATAGGGAAGTTAAAACCGGCATACAATATATTCTCTCCTAAAATTACTCCTAATATAGTGCCGGGAACTTAAAGCTTTTCCTTTTTCATTGTTTAGGGAAACTAGAGTTCTTGGACTTGAGTGGGAATGTATCATGTCAAGACCCTGCTGAGGCATCTGTGCTTGCTAAGTTTGAAGTCTATGGAAAATTAGTTATCGACTCTGCGTCATCTTCAACGCTTAATGCACCTTATGATGATGATCCATAGTTACCTATAAGGGGAATGGATTATTAGTTTTATTATTATTATTATTATTGTTATTGTTATTGTTATTGTTATTGTTATTGTTATTGTTATTGTTATTGTTATTGTTATTGTTATTGTTATTGTTATTGTTATTGTTATTGTTATTGTTATTGTTATTGTTATTGTTATTGTTATTGTTATTGTTACCGTTACCGTTACCGTTACCGTTACCGTTACCGTTACCGTTACCGTTACCGTTACCGTTACCGTTACCGTTATTATTATTTTATTCCCAACATAAATTTTCTTCTTGTTACACGTTTTCCTGAAAAAGAAACTGTTTGATCTTGTACTCGAACAGGTTATGTCTTAGTTCTCTCCATTTTTTTGTCTTTTAAAAAGGGAACTTCTCTGGACTTTTGTATGAGAGCTTATGTATTTTCAGGTGTTTCCTGTTTGCTGAATACAATTTGTTACAAACAACAGCGTTGAAAATTATCTTTCACAGGGGTTATAGCTAATCTTTCAGGTGATCTGACAAAACAAGTTAGAATGACTCAAACAAGTTAAATATGATGGAATATAAATGAAAGTGTTGTTACTTTCTCCGTATTAGTTATTACAAACACTTAACCCATAACAACGAATATGACTTGTTTTAAGCTTCTGCGTTTTGAACCATTTATTATGAATTATTAGTCTTAAACTTGTAATTTGACTTTAATATATGAAATGACTACTAAGAGATGTCTAAAATTAGTTCATTTAGTGCATCTCTTTTATCACTCACACGCATAATTTCTTTCCTTGTTTTCCCGTATGCTCTCCTTTCATACTTTTTATGTTATTTATATCCTGGATTCCAAACGGACCCCTATAGGTTATAGAAAGTTGGTAGGTTGGCTTGTCACCGAGAATTGGGTCTTTTTCTTGCTGGTGCTTATCCATCAAAAACTAAATGTCCTCATACTCGTATTAAAACTTCTTGTAAGAGTGAATGAATGAAAGGAAAAATCATTGGTAGGCTTATTTAAGATTTTTTTACTCTTATTTAGAGAACTTCTTCATTTTTACTTCACAATTTGTAAGCTGGACCGTGTTAATTGTTAAATACTATCATGAATGATGATCACATGGAAAGACAAATCATGACTTGCTGGTTTAGGTATCATTTAATGATGTCGTTACAGCGTTTACATCATCTTTGTGATGCATCAAGTATTGGTTTAGTTATAGAGTATAGCAAGGACACTACTACAAGTCTACAATGGATTATGAAGTATTGGAAACTCATCGGGTCTTTGTTTAACTGGACCACTAACCTAAAAGCTTTCTATTACTTGCAAAACAGAATGCATCATTACTAATTATGTTTTTCAAATTTCGAAACGGAAAGCAGAAAATATGTTTATTTTATCAGTTTTTCTATATAGTAAATGGAAATCAAATTTCCAGTTAGAGGGACCTCACAAGTAACATCTCATTTCATGCACAAAAAATCAATATATAGTGATGAAGTACTACATGCGTCTCACTAACATTAGGACAGAAAAGTGAGCTTATGTAATTGATACGGAGTATTGAATAGATAAAGTAAAAAATAAAGTAAGAGTAATTTAGAATCATGCACATGATATTACATTAGGACCAAATGAAATACGAGACAATTTTAATCGGGGTATAACTTTAGGCAATTTTTAGTACTATATCACTATTAGATTTTACGAGTACATTTCTATACTCCCTCCATCCCGCTAAGATCTTCCTGCTTTCCTTTTTTAGCCGTCCCAAAATGATCTTCTCATTTCCCTAAATGGAAAGTTATCATACATCAACCGAGTTTTAGGATTGTTTACCGTCCTGAGGATACTCAACCTCACCGAGTTTTAGGATTGTTTACCGTCCTGAGGATACTCAACCTCACCGAGTTTTAGGATTGTTTACCGTCCTGAGGATACTCAACCTCACCGAGTTTTGGGATCGTTTACCGTCCCGAGGATACTCAACCTCAACCTTATTCCTTACCAACCCTAACTATGGACAATACCTAGTCCTATAGTCATGTAACAATCCTTAGTAACCAACGTGGACGGGTCCCACCTGATCGGTCCACGTTAACCTACTAAAAAACTACCCGTTTTGAGTATAACCCAATACTCGATCGAGTATCCACCTATACTCGGTCGAGTACAGGAGACAGCAACCCGTAAGGCTAATCTTCCATGCATACTCGATCGAGTACCTATGCATACTCGATCGAGTATAGGAGGCACCAGCCCGTAAGGCTAATTTTCCATGCATACTCGATCGAGTACCTATCCATACTCGATCGAGTATAGGAGGCAGCAGCCCTCTGGGCAGTTTTTCAGCAAATACCCGGTCGGGTATTTGCCAATACCCGGTCGGGTATTGTAGTTGACTTGGCGGTCAACGCCCGTTTGACCGCCCAAACGGAGTCCGATTAACGTGAAATTTTACATGCATGTACTCCTTGAAGTCCTTGATCCAAAAATACCTGTTTTGGTCCTTGGAACATCACACATCTCAATTTATAATCATTTCACTAATCAAACCTACATTTCATGTTTTCCAACCTTGTTATAGTTCTTAACATAACATAACACATGCTTTAATACCATTAATCAATTCATAAAACATATTATTGATTAATTTAGGTAATCTCATGCCTCACGCAAAATTTATAAAGCATATAGCCGTCTTCTCACCTCAAAAGAAGCTTATGAAGTTCTAGCCTTTCTTATTGAGCTCCGGTGAAACTCCGGCGAACTTCAACGAACTCCGGCGACACTCCGGCGACCCTTTCAACTCCGTGACAGTCCTTGGAGTACCTTATACAAGTTAACAACAAGGTTTTATCATCATAAAACCCATATCAACACAAATAACCTCTAAAAGGTTATTTTCCGACGAACCGGTCAACTTTGTTCTCTAAATCCGTTTTGGATATGAACCAACCTTCCAACCCCTTATTCTTCACATATAACATGTATAGTAACCCTAGGGGTCTGGAACATGATTATATAATCATATGGGAGGATTAAGGAAAAAGGAATGGGGTTAATGAAGTCATTACCTTGGTAATCCTTAAGTTTTCCTCCTCTTTCCTCCTCTCCTTCTCCTTCTTCTTCTTCCTTGAGCTTGGTTCGAATGGCAATGGTGGATGTGAGTATTTTCAGAGCACCTCTCTCAAAGATGAGTGATAGGGTCGGATGTATTGGCTAAGGGGAGAGTATATGGCTATCCTTTGGCTTTTACCTCCAAAATAATGTGGCTATGGTCCCCAATGTCCTTACTTGATGCCATTTCCCTCAAGTCAACCCTTCCCATTCTCCTTCCATCACTCCAGCCGCCCACCTCCTCCATTTGTCTCCAATTATTTCGTGGGGTGGCCCCCACATATGTGGGAGGTCATCCCTTTGTGTCCCCAAGTGTACACTTGGTCCCGAAAGTTGTATTTTCCATACTGTTTTAACTTATATTTCGTTTTATCGGGTAAAAAGAAGTATCTCTCATTCTTCCAATTATTATTGGCTATAAGAATGAATGTATATTCCCCAACTTTTAATTTGGTGGTCTCCATAATTTATTATGGCATTTTATCTGATGTTACTTCGGTACCGATAAATGGGCTTTATATGCCCAAAAGGTTACTCACGTAACTTCTATGGCCCAACCAGGCTATCCACCATTATACACATATTATCTTGACCCAAATGAATATAATATGTGGTCCCGATAATATCGGGCGGCCCCCACTTCCGGTGTGGGCCCCACGTGAATTTTACTATTCACGTAAAAGAAATGATAAAAAATTCGCAATCACGTAAAATGCGTTTATTCATTTCTTGGGTTCAATACATAATTTGATAAAGTACAAATACTTGGGGGCGGTGTTACAAGTTCTACCCCCCTTATTTGGGATTTCGTCCCCGAAATCCACGTGTCTAGTCAAACAGAAATGGATACTGTTCCCTCATCAGGGTCTCCACTTCCCAAGTTTGCTCCTCAACACGATCACTCTTTTAAAGTACCTTCACCATCGGTACCTCTTTACTCCTTAGCTTCTTTACCTGTCGGTCCATGATCTTTACCGGCTGCACTGCATAGTGAAGGTCTTCCCGGATTTCCACAGGTGGTTTCTCAAGAATATGTGACGGGTCCCGTACATACTTCTTGAGCATAGAAACATGAAATACATTATGAATCTTTTCTAATTCTGGAGTTAACTGAAGCCGGTACGCTACAACCCCAATCCTTTCAATGATTTTGAATGGGCCTATGTAGCGTGGGTTAAGCTTACCCCGACTGAGGAACCTGATGATCCCTTTCCAAGGTGACACCCTCATAAATACCTCATCGCCGACCTCGAACTCTAACGTCCTTCTTCGTTTATCTGCATAGCTCTTCTGCCGATCTTGGGCAGCCTTGAGTCTATCCTGAATAACCCTCACCTTTTCTTTGGTGATTTCGACTAACTCGATGCCCTCAAGCTTAGCCTCGCCTACCTCATCCCAACACAAAGGTGTCCGACATTTCCTCCCATACAATGCCTCGTATGGAGGCATGCCTATACTTGCTTGATAACTGTTGTTATAAGCAAATTCCACCAAGGCCAACTGGTTGTCCCAACTTCCTTGGAACTCCAAGGCACATGCCCTCAACATGTCCTCCAAAATCTGAATCACCCGTTCAGATTGCCCATCCGTTTGAGGATGGAATGACGTGCTAAACCTCAACCTTGTTCCCATGGATTCCTTGAACTTAAGCCAAAACCGTGATGTGAACCGTGGGTCTCTATCCGACACTATAGGAACCGGAACCCCATGCAGTCTCACGATCTCATCTGTATACAACTTGGCCAGTCGCTCAAGCGTATAAGTAGTGTTGATAGGTAGGAAATGAGCACTCTTGGTCAGCCTATCAACCACCACCCATACCGCGCCGTAGTTCCTAACCGTCCGTGGCAGACCTACCACGAAGTCCATAGTAACATGCTCCCACTTCCATTCTGGAATGGTAAGTGGCTGTAATAATCCTGCCGGGTGTTGGTGTTCTGCCTTAACCTGCTGACAGGTAAGGCAACGACTCACATATTCTGCAATCTCTCTCTTCATCCCTGACCACCAGTAACTTTCTTTCAAGTCTTGGTACATCTTTGTTCCACCTGGGTGCATGGCATACGCAGATGAGTGA